TTCTTACCTAATCATAGTTAGATGAAATTAAAACATTTACAAAATACCTCTTAAAAACTAACCAAATCAAAACAAACAAATAGTTGCAACTAGAGAAGCAAAATAGAAGCAAAATAGAAGCAAAAGGATCAAGAAGGAAACAAATTGAAGACAGTTTCTGATGGAGAAGGAGAAAGGAACAAGAGAAAAACAAATTAAACACAATTATGATGGAGAATGAGAGAAGGCATGGCGTAAAAAGAGCTTGGTACCATTCGGTCAAGCTCCATGATCGAAATGGTGTGGGTCCAACAACTATCAATCAATCATATGCAATATTCTCACTTTTGGACAAAACTAATGATCGAAAAAATGAAAAGCTGCATTACAAATTTATTCGGTCAATACCATTGACCGATCAAAAACTGCAAAGCTGAAGCCCCCCGTTAAATCAGTACTTACATTGCACTATTTTGATCAGTTTTACTGACCGAATAGAAGGGAAAATTGAAAAGTTGAAGCCTTTCAACAGCCTCCATCAAATCACGTCATATTGCTATTTTGTCGGTCAGTAAAACTGACTGAACCAAGATGGACACGCGAAGCTTCCTACAGGCTCCATCAGAAGCATGAGACCCGTGAATTTGGTTCGGTCAGTTTCACTGACCCAAAAAAGATGAAAAAATTATATAGCCTACAGCTTTCACCGGCTTCCATCAAATCAAAACCAGGGGTAAGTTTTGATCAATAAAAATGACCAAAAAAGGTAGGAAAAAAGCTTGAAAAGTTGCAACTTTAACCGGTTTCCATCACATCATAACCATGCTGTGTTTTTTAGTCATTATTGTTAACCAAAATAAACCGAGTCAGATGTTTTTGATGATTAATTAAATGGCTGTATGATTTTTTGTATTTGTTCGGTCAGTATGATTGACCGAATTGTTTTTTGGTCAAGCATATTAACCAAAATGACAATGGGGAACTCCCCCACCTTAGTTCGGTTGAAATGCTTAACCGAAATAAGTTTTGACTTAATTGATCGTCAAAGATGATATAAAACAGACAATTTTGTGTCTCGGTCTTTTTTTGGTCAAGATTTTTGCTTGACCAAAATAGTATGCCCGAAAAGGGGGTGTTTTCTAATAGTGTTATAAACTATGATTTTTATTTGTTGAGACTTGAAAATATTGTTTTTATAATTTTTGATAATTTGTATAAACTCTTAGGTCATTTTATGCTTTTTGTTACTAGATTTATCTCTTATTTTAATTATTAGAGTTATATTTTAATTTTTTTATTACATACTCACTATTTGTCTATAGCGGCTACTACGTTATCCGCTACACTATCATATTGGATTTCGGCCTTTCTGCTATTTTCTGTTATCCATTATTGATAACACTGGCTAGATCTAGATTATGTTACTGACCCAAAGAAGGTCATTGGTGACTGAGCTTAAGCTACTTGGATAGCCATAGCAAACAAAAATTAGAATGCCTTACAAGCAATTAGATTTATTGAAGTCACCTTTAAAAGGGTAGTTCATGACTAGTTTGTTGGTCTAAATGAAGAAGACAACAATATTATTATAAGTGGAAATCCTGCTTCAAAAGAAATTGATGAAAATGAAGCAATTCAAGACATAATAAATAGGTTCAAAATCAGCTATTAGGATAGAATTCTTAGGAGAAAATTGGGAAGAAAATCAAGGAAAAAAAGAGACCAGAATTGGAAGAATAGCAGCATGGAGTTTGCAACATTTAGATTTATGTAATCTTCGTGAATTAGATCAAGACATTTACCTATTTCAAAAATATTATTATAAAACTTCAAATCATAGAATGACTAAAGGCCTAATGGAATTGTTTTTTAGAAAAATTCCTAATCCTTGGGGAATAAAATTGGTAAAAGCCTGTAGAATATATGTAGAAGATAAGAAAGATACTTTGGGATTAAGGATTAGGTTCGCTAAAACCAAAATTAATGAATCGTGCCAAGAAACCTATAGCTAGAACAAACTAAGAAAAAGTATGAAAAATGGATTATGTTGTCCTAAGAATAATGATCCAATCAAGTTAGGATGTAGTTACACCAACTACAACAAAGGAAATAAGAAATTTAGAATTAAAAGAAGTAAAAAACAAAGGTTTAATTAGAAAACAATTTCTAGAAAGAAAAAGAGGTATTTTAAGAAAACTAAAACACAAAAAAGTATAAAAAGAATCCTAAGAAATGCACATGCTGGCTGTGCAAAGAAGAAGGGCATTATGCAAATGAATGTCCTAAAAGATATTAAAAAGAAAGTACTAAAAACCTAAAAATTTATGAAGAAGAATTAAGTGAAATAGATACTAGCTCTATATGTAGCGAAGAAAGTATATATTAAGTGGAAAGTTTGTATACCTTCAGTAATGATGAATCAAAATATTGAAGAAGGAGAAGCTTATTCTGAAGAATATGAAGGACATGGAGAATACAATCAAATAACTGTATTTGATAAAAGTAAATATAAAAGAATTAGACAAAAGAGAATGGACCTTCTAGAAAAAGGATTCAAACAAAATTCTTTTATGAGTAATCCTTTTAAAAGAAAAGATATAGTTTATTACGGAATATCCATTAAGGAATTTAGCATTCCTATTAATAATACAACAAAAATAATAAATATACCTTTGATTATCAAGGCAGAAATAGAAAGCAAACTGTCAGAAATAGAAAGCAAACTGTCAGAAATCAAAGATAGGTTTTGTCCACATTGGAGGAATACAAAATTTTAGGGAAGGAATAGACACCCCAATAAAATTAGCTTTAATAGACAATAAAATCAATGATAGAAAGGATGCTATCCTTAGATTAGTGCAAGGTAACCTTAGTTACTAAAAACTTATGTTTATAGTATATCCAAAATACGTTGTAAACATTAATGATAGAAATATTAATAAAACCTTAAGTTTGGCACATGAATTTCCCAGAGAAAACTTTATGAAAGATGGATCAATGCCATATAATATTTATTATATGGTAAATTATACATTGACTAATAGTCATCAATCTAATCTTTTTAAAGATAAAGAATATATTGAATTAGATCCTAGGCCAAAGCCCCTATTTGCACCCTCCATTTATTTTTTTTCCGCAGTCAACACCTTCTAGAATTTTTCCTCCCTATTCACACCCTCCACTTTTCAAAACCAGTGAAAAACCCAATATTTTAACGGGCTGTCATGGCATCGTTAAAAAATGCACTGTGTGGCACCCAGAAATTGACGTGGCACATGCGGCGTTTTCTTATTCATTAGGTTCAAATGTGGATCTGCTTTTTGATGGTGTGGTGTCCACATGTGCAGTGGGGTCCATTGCGCGGGACTTTTCCCGCTTGTCCCCGCGTCCCACCGAAAAAAAAAAAAAAACCTAAAAACCCAAAGATCTCAAAACAGATCTGCAAAACCATTTTGGGGATTTAGGGTTTGTCTTCATTTTCCTCTTAATCCTCATTGAGCTTTTCCACGATCTTCCTCTTTCACTGTCTTCTCCTAAACCCAACCCCAATTTATGATAAGAGAGAAATGTCAAAGACATATGGAAATTCATTCTCACGAGGTTCTACTTCACGTGGTGCATCGACTTCGTCTAGCCATCCTCCTTTCATCTTATATGATGGTATTCTCGAGTACGACTACCCACCACCCATTTGCCATTGCGACTGTGGTAAGTTTGCTCCACGATGGCCTACATGGAGGGACTCGAATCCAGGTCGTCGCTTTTATGGATGTCTAGATTTTAGGGTGGGTTTCACTTTCAAAAAAATATTATTATTATTATTATTTTGGCTTTCAGTTTCGAACAATGATTTTATATGCTCAATTTGGTTACAGGAAGAGGATGTGTCGAAGAAGTGTGATTACTTTGTGTGGCATGATACAGACTTCACCCAAAGGGCTAAAGATGTTATTTGGTACCTCTATAACGAAAGGAAGAAACTGTTAAGGGAAAATTCTGAGCTAAGGAAGCAATTGAAGCATAGTCATGAGGAAGAGGTTGAGCAAATGAGGCAAAGGCAAAGTGTTAGCGTGAACGAGGGGATAGAGGAATGTCACGCCCCAAAACCCAAATTCGAGGCGCGACAGACGCCGTACACTCGTGAGACGGGTCCCACAAGTGCACAAGGCTCAGAACTTATCATATCACCCGCTGATACCACCAAAATCTGAAGATCAAATTATAAAATTCTCTTTGATATCATAAAATCTCCAAGTACACTCTAGCTTACAAGATCACGATCTCTAGAATCTAAATCAATCTCGACATGGCTAGCTTTCTAACTCGTCACTTCCCGTGGTTTCCCCGTCCTCGATTTCACATCCTGAAATGGTGGACAAGGAAAAACTATGAGATAAACTCAGTAAGTAAAT